CCCCCCCCCCACCTCCCCCTCCCCTTACGCTCTTCGTTGAGCTATGCTGTGTGGAAAGGAGGTGCTGGGATTGGATAGAGTGCAACAAAACCGGAAGTTGACTTTCCCTTTTGGGCAAGTTTTCCTGATCCGGTAACAAGAGATGCTAGGAAGGTCCCAAAAATTGCTGTCATGGTTGGGTCCGTTTTCTCTTTATCTGCCCCTCGAGATCAACAGCATGTTTCTTTATCTGCACGCCGGATCGCTATGAATCTTTGTGGACCCACTGACGGAAGAGGAGAAGGACAAACAAAAGCAGGCTCAAGGTCCATTGCTCCTTTTGGGGAAAACCAACCTCTCAGCGCTCCTGTAGGCATAAGGAAAGCAGGGCAGAGTAAATGGTGAGGAAGAGAAGGACGAACTCCTTGTCCGTGGTGTTGCAGTGAATCCTATGGACCATCCTCGTGGCGGCGGTGATGGTTTCGAACCCAATGGATGAGCTTCAGTCAACAGATGAGATAAGGTACAGTAGTAACCCTTTCATGGCGTCGTGTTGCTATGAATCCTGTAGGACCAGCTCACAGTGGACGCCGGAGGTACGTTTCTCCTTTGGGGAAAACCAACAAAAGTTGGATGTGATCTGTCAGCGCTCCTGTCGGCGTAATTTAAGGAAAACATGGCAAATGAGATGGTTAGAAAGAGGAGAAGGACAAACTCCCTGTTCATGGTGTTGCGATGAAGCCTGTGGATCATTCTCATAGAGGAGGAGACGGGCGAACAAAAGGAGGCTCAAGGTCCGTTTCTCCTTTTGGGGAAAACTAATGAAAGGTGGATTTTGGGGGGGGAATGGATGGGACTCCCCATTTTCCCAGGATTACGTGTTGCTATGAATCCTGTAAGACCAGCTCACAGTGGACGCCGGAGGTACGTTTCTCCTTTGGGGAAAACCGACAGAAGTTGGATGTGATCTCTCAGCGCTCCTGTCCGCGTAATTTAAGGAAAACATGGCAAATTAGATGGTTAGAAAGAGAAGGACAAACTCCCTGTTCATGGTGTTGCGATGAAGCCTGTGGACCATTCTCATAGAGGAGGAGACGGGCGAACAAAAGGAGGCTCAAGGTCTGTTTCTCCTTTTGGGGAAAACTAATGAAAGGTGGATTTTGGGGGGGGGATGGATGGGACTCCCTCCATTTTCCCAGGATTACTGATGGCGGGCTTTCCAAAATAGGAAATATCTCCAATTCGGGAGAGTAGTCTCTCATCCTGACAACCTTTGGATGTTTTTTTGGCCCTTCTTTCTTGCTTCACTCACTACACAACATTTGAAATGCCTCGGGACTGGGTAATGATCCAGATTCCAGATGCATTCAGACAGACCCAACATGGTAATGATCCAGATTCCAGATGCATTCAGACAGACCCAACATGTTTGATCAATTAATGCACGGGGACTGTTACAGAGTCCAGGTACATATGCAATTTTGTAGTGGAGAGAGGCCTTTACTCTCGAAAACAATGTAAAATACAATTTCGAGAGCAAAACTCTTTTTATCAAACAACCCTACGAAAGCTTATCGCCCGCGGCACCGAGTCTCGCATCTGCAATGGTCCACGTTAGTGTTTCTGCATCGCGAAGCGTGAGACGTCCGATGTAAAATTATGACGCGTGATTGTTTGCATCGCGAAGCGTGAGACGCCCGATAAAAAATTCTGACGTGCGATCGTTTGCGTCGTGAAGCGTGAGACGTCCGATGTAAAATTCTGATGTGCCTGACGCATCTGACGCGTTTGGCGTTTGTTTTTTTCTCGGGCGAGTCCGGTTTTGTTTCGTTTTTGTGTTCTCTTTTATACTTTGGGCCTCGCTGCACTACTCTTGAAATACGGACAGATACACGGTCATGATTTTTGTTTTTTGTGGAAGTCTAGACTTGTTTGGCGTTTGTTTTTTTCTTGGGCGAGTCCGGTTTCGTTTCGTTTTTGCGTTCTCTTTTATGCTTTGGGCCTCGCTGCACTATTCTTGAAATACGGACAGATACACGGTCATGATTTTTGTTTTTTGTGGA